GGTATACTCGGTCAAAGTCAAAGGTCGTTTAATGCCCGATCAACGTCGGTCAAAGTTCCAGTCAACTGTGGTCAACGCCAGTCAACGATCGACTATTTTACACAAATATCACACTAACAGAAATTAATTACAAAATCAGCGACCTTCTGTAAATATTTACGAAACTAACTCTCGGGGTGGCGCGTGTGGCGTGTGAACAGTAATCCGGTGTCGATAAATTCCCGAAAAAATTCCTAAAAATTATTTTAAGCGATTTTGAGGCACTTACAAAGCTCGGTTCACAATTTTGAACGGCGGAGAGCTCGATTTCGAAACGTCGGAAACTTTGACGGTCTCACCCCTCCACGCACTCGAAACGATGCAAGGAGCACGATGGTGCGGGAGGTTTCATAAACGGATGACCAGATCGTCGTGAATCGACGAAAAATCAACTGAAATCGAGTTATTACCGATGATACTTCCGACTGAAATTAACAACGAACGACGACGATTCACGACAAAAGGTTTGAGGGATTTTGTTCCTCGGTCGACAACGAACACGATGGTAGTTTCGGTTCATTGATCGGAGGTCGAATGACGAGTAGATAGAGTTGAAAGGAGGGTTGTTAAAGAGGAAAAACTGAGAAATATTCTGGGTACAGAGCACGTGGAGGGGTTATAAATTCTCTTATAAATAAAAATGGTTAAACCATAAGTTTAGTCATTGAACTTCATGCACTTCTTAAAACAGTCTGCTAACTTTGAAATTTTACAATTTAATCCATCATTTCTTTCAAAATACCAATTAAATCCACCACTTTATAATTTATTAAATTTAGCCCCTAAATTGGTGTGTTACATTCATTCTCTTTTTATTTCCTTTTTCCTGGCACCTGAACTTAACGTTTGTGTCCTTAATTAGGACTTTGTGTTATCTAGGCATGGATGGTTTGGAACGAAGGCAGAGGTTTATCGACCCGAACATGGCCGACAATTGCCCGGTTTCGGAGGTTGTGAGATGGATACATGTGTGTTGCGGATGACCCTGCAGTGAGGCCAACAATGTCATCGGTTATTCTCATGCTCGGAAGCAAATCAATCAGTTCCCCTCCGCCATCAACACTTCCCTATTCTGCTGCGAGATTTGTTTCGATGTCGGATCAACCTTCAAGTATCGGGACTGGGACAGGGTTTCTTACATCCGATCAGTGTATAACCTCTAATCATCGTCCATATGTATTCTTTCATATAGCCTTCAAAATTTTATTTTTTTTATTTTGTATGATAAAATTTTAATTCTTATCTTATCCTCAATATCAAATTTGCATTACTTTAATTCTTTTGACAAAATAAAAATTGATTATATTTGCCTTTGACTCGTGCACCATTTTCTCCTGCATTGATTTGTTCGATATATGTTTATTTAATTATCTCATTTATTATTTATGGAGTATTTTAGATATTTGATTCGTGGTTCTTTTTATTTAAATAGTTGTGAACAATCATTCTATATATCTCATATTTAAATTATTATAAAGTTTATTTTCACTATTAGTATTTATATTGATGATGTTTAACCAATATTATCTCTTTCGAAATTATAAATTAATAATTATCACAAACACAATATTACGATATATTTTCAAATAATACAAATCAATCAATTAAATCATAAAAGATTATATATGTAAGGACACCAGATGTTTACGTTAAAGATTAAAAAATCACATGATTTTAGAGTTTAGACAAAACTCAACTATAATTAAATATACAATTATAAGCTTATAATTATGAGTATAAATGAGCTGTTTTGAATAAATATTATTGTGTTCATGTTCGTATAAACTTTTATAATTGAGTATGATCAGGGTTTTAAATAGTTGTAGCGCTGCCTTTCGATATGGCCGCAATAGCGCCTGCTATGGCCGCAATAGCGGCAAACGAGACATGACTGAAAACACGACTGTGATCGCGATTTGAATCCCTGAGTATGACACGAATCCGATATCCGATCAACCACCAGCTCCCCCATCGGAGAACCAAGGTAGGGCAAATAGGCTTATTTCGTAGACTATGTTATTCGGACTGAAGTATCGGGATCGGAAACAAGTATATATCCAACACGGTATACTCATGGGTCGTATTTTGGTCGTTTTAAAAGCAGGAAAGGAGGGCAATAGCAGAAAAAGGATCATAATAATCATCGTATCATCATTAGCAGGTGTTTTTGTTGTTGCAGTTCTAGTTGGTTTCCTGTATCACAGAAGAAGACGACGTTTTAAAGGTAATTTCCCTTCACATTTTCAGGTTAATATGGCATATATATGTTGATTTCTTACAAATTTTGAACATTGTGATTCATTACTCGGATAAGGAACTAGAGAAAACGTTTTACTAGGAAGGTCTAATTCCTCAGACTCCAGATTTGATGGAGTTGGGTATTAATCTATCGGATGAGGATCAGGACGACGAGATGCTTCAGTTTGATTTAGCTACCATACATGCTGCAAAGAACAACTTCTCTGAGGAAAACAAGCTCGAAGAAGGTGGTTTTGGCCCTGATTACAAGGTAAAAAGTAGGAACATTCATCTATTGTGTATGGTAGGATTACTAGCGGAACCTGCAGTTAACATCATGTTTCGGACTTTACGATTTTTTTTCAGGGGAAAATTACGAATGGGAAGGTCATAGCAGTTAAAAGGCTTTCCATGAGATCACGACAGGGTCTCGGAGAGTTCAAGAATGAAGTGAAGTTAATCGTTAAGCTTCAACATAAAAATCTCGTGAGGCTATTGGGATATTGCTTGAAGAAAGACGAAATGATTATCGTCTACAAGTTCATGGCTAACACCAGCTTGGACACCTTCCTTTCGGTTATCTCCTCTCCCTCACACATCATGTTTTCTTACGTTCATGCTCGAATATGTTTCGAACCTGGTTCGATACAAGTTTTCCAATAGATAAGTGTTGCTGTGCTTTTATGCTATTCAAGGCAGATCCAGAGAAAAGCAAGGCAGAGCTAGACTGGGAGAAACGAGCCAACATCATTATCGAAACCGCAAGGGGCCTGCAATATCTACAGACTTAAAATAATCCACAGGGACTTGAAGGCCAGCAATGTTTTGTTAGATGATGACATGAACCCTAAAATATCAGACTTTTGCACTGCAAGAATAGTTGGAGGCAATCAACTTGAAGCCAACACGGTTCATGTCGTCAGAACGTAGTAAGTTCTTCATTTTGGTTCCTTAACTGAATCCAAATAGAAATGAGAAAGGAGTCTAAATTTATGTCCTATGCAGCGGATACATGGTACCAGAATATGCACTAGAAGGGTTGTTTCAAACAAGACTGATGTTTACAGCTTTGGTATCCTAATGCTAGAAATAATAAGTGGTAAAAGGAACAGGGGATTCTACCATTACCTGGACGGAGTGAAGTCCTTGTCACTTATGTATGCATTCATCTCTCTTTATTTCCTTTTACCAGGCACCTGAGCTTAAGGCTTGTGTCCCTAATTAGGACTCTGTGTTATATAGGCTTGGATGGTTTGGAACGAAGGCAGAGGAGATGAGTTGATTGACCCGAACATCACCGACGATTGTCCGGTTTCGGAGGTTGTGATATGGATACACATTGCGTTGTTATGTGTTCAGGATGACCCTGCAGTCAGAGCTACAATGTCATCGGTTATTCTCATGCTCAAAAGCAAATCAATCAATCTCCCTCAGCCATCAACACTTCCCTATTCGGCAGCAAGATTCGTTACAATGTCGGATCAATCTTCGAGTATCGGGACCGGGACAGGGTTTCTTGCATCCGATCAGTCTATAACCTCTGGATCTTCCTTGCTAGAGCGAAGCAAAAACAGAGAAATCCAATTCGAACCCTAAAGTTTTCCGAGTTCGATTTTTTAATCAATTTTTTTTATACTTGTATCGATTGTTTGTGCTAACATTTGTTACATACATAATGGTATGAACAAGTGAATGGAATTGGTATGCTCAGGCTTGGCATAGTAGCGGTCAAAAGAGGGTGCCTCCATTGCAATTTAAAAATCGATCAACCCTCAAGGCAGACTCGTGATTTTGACAAATCCATTGAAAAAGATGTGAATTGTCTTTCACTTATTATTTATTTTTCAACATACAAGAGTGCCACCGAGACAACTATGGATTTTGGGACTGGGTGGACGAAGCTTGGCACAATTGGCGTCTGTTGTTGCAATTAGCATCCATGATGGGGTGCTCACACCTGCATTTGCGGCTCAAGTCGCAATACCCAATGCCAACACTTGCACATATATCCGCACACTCTTTGTCGTTCGTACACCCCAATGTTGTTTCTTGTGCGACCGAGTTCGATACACCTGCAAATTAAACCAAATAACCTTTGTAAACAACTTGTTGAGATACTAAAGGGGAGAAAGATTGTATACATCCATATTGACAAGAAGCTATGATCAAGATGACAAGAAGAGAAGCAACGCCAAGAGAAGACGTCTTCATCTCTTTGTAGATTGTTTTGAAGCTGATTGGAGAATAAAATGAGATCCAACTCTTTGTATTCTTGTGTCGTCGATGATGATATGCAAAGTGAATAGTTTAGTGGGGATTTATAGAAGAATTCTCTGTATCTTTGCCAATTATGGAAGCAAAAATCCTAGACAATTTATTAGGAGGAGATGGATAGATTCTGCATGACCTACATTTGGAAATTAGAATCCAAGCACATTTAATTCTTGGATTGTGGATAATGTTTTTAATCTGTTTGATTTTTTTAGTTAAAAGTAGATATAACAATCTTTTTTTGTCCATTAGTTTTATTAGTTGAGTGAAATTTAAAGGCTGAATAATTAAATTGAATCTGAATGAAGGGCAATTTTCTAGACTGTAACCCTATTCTTTAAACAAAAACAAAGATTTCATAATTACAAATATAATTCTATTCAAGTTTGCATGTACAAGCAACTGTGTTACAATTTTAGTATCGATAATATGCATATATTTATAAAATTTCCGAATTAATTTATCTTCCGGTTATCGTTGTCACTGTAACATTATTAGAAGACACAATTTCTTGACCATCCAAAACTAATTGGCCATCAATGGAACTTCTTATGGAACTAAAAGTGGGTTCCCTTGGCATTGGAAATGTAGGAGCTTCACTCTCGAGCATCAACACCACGGCGGCCATCGTCGGCCTATGCGTCGTGGAGTCTTGCACGCACAACATGCCTATATGTATGCATTTCAACACTTCGCTCGGAGAGCACGAATCCCGGATCGATGGATCAACGATTTCCATCGCTTTATCTTCGTTCCAATGTTGCCATGCCTGGAAAAAAAAACAAACCGATTCAATCAAATTCCATAGAATTATATTATTTCACGGTTGGCCTTTTCACTTACATATGCTATAAGGCTTGCATGTTCAGATGAGCGGAAGCTTGTATTTCTACGTCCACTAACAATTTCCAACAACAATACGCCAAAGCTATAAACATCTGATTTCGCTGAAAACAGGCCTTCCATGGCATATTCAGGAGACATATATCCACTGCAATTCAAGAAAAACATTTGATTTGACAGTGAAATTGTCTGAAAATTGAGCATGCTAGTACTTACTATGTGCCAACTACTCGGACCGTATTTGCTTCGTTTTGGTTACCCCCGAAAATCCTGGCCATGCCGAAGTCTGAAATCTTCGGATTCATTTCGGCATCCAACAAGATGTTGCTGGCCTTTAAGTCTCTATGAATTATTCGAAGTCTCGAGTCTCGATGAAGGTAAAGAAGCCCTCTGGCAATGCCTTCAATAATGCTGAGTCGGGTTCTCCAATCGAGCCGTGCTTCTTTGGCTACCATGAAAGATTTTTATTAGGTATGAGTTCCGAATATGTACCGAATACGTGCAATATCGAGGGAACATACCGAAAAGAAAGTTGTTCAGACTTTTATTGGGCATATATTCATATATCAGCATCTTTTCTTCCCCTTGAATAGAGCATCCCAATAGTCTAACAAGGTTTCTGTGTTGCAATTTGGCTATGAGGATAATCTCGTTCTTGAACTCCTCTAAGCCCTGACCTGACTGTCCTGAAAGCCTCTTTACAGCTATTTCTTGACCTCCAGGAAGCTCTCCCTGTTTTACCAAAATTAACAGCAACTGTTATCACTTTAAACTCGACATTAGTGTATCGACTCGGGTTTCAGGATGCTTTCCCGGTGCCACCCTATACATCAGGATGACCATCAAAACCTGATATGTAGTTCAACATGGAAAATACATCCTAAGACCAGGATCGTTATGAATACTTCCATTACAATTTAGTGGAACTCGCCTTGTATACGGCACCGAAACCTCCCTGCCCGAGTTTGTTCTCTGCACAAAAGTTGTTTGCTGCAGCTGCCACAATGCTGAAATTAAAAATTGGTAACTCTGGTCCATTAACTTGATTCCCATCTGTAAGGATGTCTGATGTTCCTGAAACATCTGCTGAGAATTCTTTGCTCTTTGATTTGGATTCATCGAAAACCTCTGCATCCTTGTCCTTGCAACATGCCATTGATGCAACTGCAGACAAACCTGAATGAAAAAGCTCACAAATTAATACCAAATGGCACACTAGACAGCTTTAAGCTGCCTCCTCTGCAAATCATACCTATGTTAGACTCGGATGTGAGTAGAAAATACAGGTATATGTTCGAAAAGTCCGGCGTTAACATAGAATTTCATACCTTTTAGATCCTTCTTGTATCTCCATAGCAGCCATAGAGACACCACCAAGAAGCATGTTCCCAACAGAGAAACTATAAATATCACAGCTTTGGGTATCTTCCTCTTGTCATCTGTGTTTGAAGTGAAGATTAAAGGTGTTAATATCGAAATAATTGTACTAATATGTCATGTCCATTATTTGTTTAAAGATCTAACATGAAGTATCAAATTCCTGTATAAGATTCGAGTTTGGTTCAGTTTAGCCTTTAAATGATAGGATTTCACTAATATATCAAAGAATCATGTCACCAACATGACGTACATTCTTCAAATTTGAAGCAATTCAGCAAGAAAAGATGACTTTTGGGTATCGAAAAGCACCTAATTCGGAATGATGGAGGCGGTAAAAGAAGCGTAAACGTCCACTTTGTTCTATATACTGAACATCAACCAAATCTCCAGTCCATATCATGCATCCAATGCCAGAAACAAATGTATATGCAGTACAGGAACAATTCCCCAAGCAACTTCGTTTACAAGCATCTAAGCTCCTTGCCGATAACCACAAGTTTGCTAAATCAGGAAACTTCATGCACATTAATCGCTTAAACCCATCCGGTTTACCACCTCCATTTCCCCCTGCTGTCCCATTAGTCCTTTGACACTGCAGTTCAACCCTCCGTTCACACCCGCCGGACCAGTTCCCTCTTGTCCACTGATCTGGAAACTTTGGCCTAAACCCTTGCAAACAATTGCAAGTACTTCGAGAAACAAAGTTGTCACAAGTTGCATAATTCCCACAATAGTTGTAAAGATCACATCTGTTAGCAGGGTCAGGTTGTGATAGCAAAATAGTCCATTTCTTCTCACCATCATCCCACCTTAACTGTTGTTCTATTCCATCCCAACCGATTCGGAACCGCAATAGATCTGAAGGATTCAACGGATAATACGTGAAGTACTGAGTCTTATTTTCATCAGCCTGAGAAAGCTTGAATCCATATAAAAAACTAGCAACATTACTCATATTGACAACACCTGTGAAAATCACTGAATTCCACTGACCACTTCTCCATCTTCTTCTCCTTTGATCCCACATCACAACCTGAGGACCTCCGTTAGGATCGATCCCAACGCTGTAGTTTCCCGGTGAAGGATCATTAACCGATTTCCACGATCTGAAAAATCGGAACTCCCCTATTGCAGAATTCACTGGTACTCTCATGCCAGGCAAAAATGTATCAGTTGGATGATTGAAGCTCTCCCAAATGGTTCCACCCTCATTGTTTGATAGCACAAGATTCCCAGATTTTCGGAGAATCGCAGCAGTGTTGTTCGATGACAAACCCGAGACATTAGAGGACCAAACTGAACTTCTGTTCCCGTCAAGAACAACTAAGTTACCATCAAATCCAATCCTTAAAACTCCATTTCTATCAGATATTGGCTTATCTCTGTTTGCAAGCCATACAACTGCTTTTACATCAACCTCGTACCATATTCCGATATATCTAGAACTGGAATTTTCAGGGCTTAAAAATCCCAGTTCGAAAACCCCATCTTCAGATGACAACTTCTCGCCATCTTTTACGGTGTCACCTGGTCGGATTATGTCAACCCCATGGCAAAACAGAGGTGAAGAAGATAGAAGAAAGAATAATGAAGAAAGAAAAACAGAAACTGGGTTCTTGTTTTTGTTGTTGGTTTTCATATCATTAGAGGAAGCGCAGAGATTGTTTCTTGTTGGAATATGTGTATGAATTTAGGCAAAGAAGATTCAAAGGGTGGGCATGGAATTTAATTGGTGAATGTGAATCAACCTCGAGAAACTAATAAACTTCAAAATGTCATTCCTTTCTCCACACTATATTTATTATTATTATTATTTTTTTTTGAAATAAACTCCACACTATATTTAGAATGTCAAAAAGTAACACCTTTTTGACTCAGAAATTTTATTCCCCATTGAGTTCTAAGTTTGGCTTAATTCCACTAAACTCTATTTTTCATATACGTGTTTAAATTGTTTTTTAATGGAATCAAATATAAAAATTATTCCCCTTATATATGTTAGGTGTCTAATATAATATGTAAATATTTTTCATCCACACCATTACTTCTAAAAAGAACAACGCATAGACATTCTACAGACGTAACTGTTCGAATCCAATATTTCTAAATTCATTAAATCCAAGAAGATGAAAATGAATTTTAATGTGAAAAATATGAAACTTTTTTTTTTAAATTTATTTGTGGTGAGCAGTCATTGGCCTTATTTTGTTTCAACGAAGACGATGGTTAGGTAGTGGCCTTTGACTCCCTCGATTGACTGGGTAATTTATGTTCCTAGTCCCTCCAAATACAAATAATATGATTCAAACCTTTTAACACTTTTATTAAATAAAATACTATGTTTTTGTTTCTCTTAATAATTAATGATTTATTTCTAAACCTTCTTAAATAATTTTTTTATATTTTAAATCAATTAAAATTTTATAAGTTTATCTTAATTATCCCTATACTCATTTTTTTTATTTTATAAACTATATATTTTTACTTTATAAGTTTATCTCAATTGTCTTTATATTATTTTTTAATCAACATAACTACTTAAACTATTATTTACTAACCACTTTTAAGTCTCATTGTTATTTCAATTAAAAAAATCTTTTGATCAATGGGATATTGACATATCACAAAGATTTAGGTATTTGTTTTGATAACAAAATAACTTAGGTTCTTAAATAAAAATAGTTTAAGTATTTATTTTGATAAAAAAAATAATTTAAATACTTAAAAGTGATTATAGGTAATAGTTTAGGTACTTATTTTGATTAAAAATAATTTAGATACTAAAACAAAAAAAAGATGTATACTTTAAGGGAGTTTTCTTTATTAATCCAAAATTTAAAGCTGTTAAAAATGAAATAGTATAATTTTGATGTTGGAGTAAATAGACTCACACACGTGTATCACCGAGCTTAAAAGGATAAATTCTCTCTTCAGTCACTCAACTTTTAACATATATTTATTTTAGTCATCCAACTACAAGATTTTTCGTTGATCAACGAACATTCAAATTTGTTTTGTTGTTCCCTTTGCAGTGGGATTGTATACAGAAAACGTACTTAAATTGATAAAGTTTCATGGTATCTATGAATTCAATGTATCGGCTGCCGGATGAACAAGAGAAATGAAAGACTTTTGTTTGTTATTTTATTAAAAACAATTTGGAAAGTCAATGATTCATGGATTAGATTGAAATATAAGAACCGTACAACTTTAAATTACATTAATCAAAGCAAGATAGAAGTAATCATATCTTTATTTCTCCTCATCTCTCCCATTCTTTCCCATTTCAAATGAACATTATTGAAGGATTCGACAAAATACATTACACGTATGAATATATATTGATCCTCGGTGTTGGGAAATGTTGTCTTCATTCATAAATCCTACGGCAATGGGTCATTGTAGTGCAACCGCGAGTGTAAGGGTTAGCTTGCCTTCCTCGTCCATTACAATTGTAGTAAGAGCGTCCAGGCCGGCTGCATGGGATCGCATTATGTCTGATTGCCTCATAGCTGATGGCTTTCCTCCCCCCTGCAAGTTGTCGAATATACATCTCGGTATCCATTAAATCATCGGTCTCGAATTCGATGCTTCTGTTACCGCCCCGATTGCATGAATCCCGGCTGACCGTGTGGCATTTGACACATTCGACCGCCATTGCCAAGGCTAGGATGAGACCCAACATCGCCCTTACCTTGGACTCCATTCAAGGAATGTTTGAAATGAGAAAACAAATGGGAAGTGCTTTGAGCTTTATTCGGTGTGGAAGAAGAAGAAGAGCAAGATGGGGGGGTTTATACATTGCTTGATGCCTTCGTTTGTGCTTTTTTTAGGGTTCGTTTACTATTTTTCAGGTAACAAATCAGTTGTTTGCAAATGCTTATAATAGATACGTTAAACCAACTTCCTGTATTTACTAACGAATTTTTAAACTCTTTATCCTTCTTTTTAATCCCTAAATTTTAATATCTTTTAGGTAGGTCCAACTCAGAGAACTTTCTTTAAATTAGATTATGTGGCATTTTTAATGAATTTTTTCTTTGATCACCATTTCACCTATAAAATGTAAAATAATTAAATAAATATGATAATTTTAAAATATTGAGTTTTTAAGGGTATGTTTGATTTATGAAATACAAGATTACTTATGGGAATAAGTTTTTCGAAATATTCCGATATCAATTTGTTATAAGATAATAACAAGTATAATAATCTTATGAAAAAAAGACAAAAAGTTTATATAGAAAACTCTTGAAAAAAAAACTATGAGCAAAAGAATAAAACTTTCACTAACGTCAAAAATAAAACAATACAAAGGATTACATAATCGACTTGAATTTTAACTCTAATCATTGATTCTATTTATATGGATAGTTATTCAATAATAAAGAAAACTTGCTTAGTAAAGATTTGCGCAATGTAATTTTTTAATCAACAACTAATAATATAATTTGGATTGTAAAAATTCTAATAATAAATATAGGAAATCATCTGATAACAACCAACTTGGCAAACATATACTAGAAATAAAATTGATCCTAAGAAAACATTATTATTAAAATTTGACCAAAAGAATAAAGAAGCGAAAGTAGTGAGGTGTACCATTTGGACTTTGTTAATTATTCTTTTATAATGGAGCACTAGTAAAAATAATGCTCAGTTATACCAAATACATGAACAGTCATCATTTGTCAGAAATACAAATTGCACCCTGTAGAAATCAATTATTTGAATGCATTTAGATATGTATTATTCTTTAAATATTTATAGGTAAAGTAAGATCTGAAACTTATTCTGACAATTAATTTTTCTTTCACCCACTTAAACCAACATCTTTGATGTAGGGTCGTGAACATGCCCTAACCAAGATAGATAAAAGGAAATACCATCCAACCTCTTCTTTGTCATTAACTTTTCGCAACTTGTTCTTTCATGCAAGTTTATAATTGAAGTATAAACTACTTTTCTTGCCTCAATTTTATTTGTGTTTATATTTAGGTCATTTAATTTTAATTTTTCTAATTTCTTCATCAAATTTCTTAGTTACTTCTATTTTAAGTTTATATTAATGCAATTATTATTTGAAGCAACTTATTTTTCCACAATTTTATTTATTAAAATAGAATAACATCAAAGATAATTGATGATAGAGACTCAGCTTGACGAGGGTGAGCACGTGTCCATACTGAAATTCGAATTTTGTTTTATTAGTTACTTATTTTATTAATGGTGTTCATCCTGAAATTTTTCGTGCCTATTCAGAAATATGAGTTTTATTCGATTAATTACTTATTTTATGGAATGTGCCTACTATGAAATTTTATTTGTACTTATCATACTTAAAAAATTTAAGTTGTTATCCTATGTGTGACCAACTTAAAAAATATTTATGGATCCGAGTATATAATATAGTTCTTGCGTACATCTAACTCAACCAATGAATCAACAAATAATTAACTTGTGTATTTATTAAACGACACGATACCGATCGAAGCGATACATTCATCGATATTTACAAAACTTATATTCGAGTATATAATCTTTTCAATAATGTTCTCTTGAAAATTCAAATCCAATATATAATCGAATCATTATGATAGACTTAAAAGCATAATTACCCTTATATATAACTAATAATCACCGTCCTGGGTGGGATATCCGATCATGTGTCATATCGGAGCCGCTTCTACCCAATTCCTTCCCACCGGGGACCACCATTCGTGGGTAAACTCCCATCGGACCCGTATTTGTAACTCCATAATATACTTGTTGTGTCGCTCCATCAGGAGCCACTCTCCAAGTCGGATCATAAGGATCCACGGGCGATGCTTGACCCACACCAGGAACTTGCTGATGATACCCGACGGTTGTTCGACCCGATGAACTCGGATACCGTTGGACATACTGTGCACGGATTTGAACGGGATGTTGTTGAACTTGAGCATGAGGGTTTCCGGGTTGTGTATGACCCGCTACATAATAAACGGGTATTGGCTGTACGGGAGGAACAGAATAATGAGAATCCTGAACATAATGCCACGTAGGAGCATTACCCGAATATGTCGTTTGCTGCAAAACGGGTTGCTCCACCACGAAGCTCTCTGTTTGATTTTGCTTTGACTTCAAAACCGGTTCTGTGTTATCCGGTTTACTAACGGAAGGTACAATAGGAACTGATGACGTGGAACAGAAAGGAGAAGAAGAGACAACGGGGGCAGGAGAACCGGCGTCCGAAACCGAGTTATTCTCGTACATAACCTGACGTGTCCTTAATTTCGGGTCACAAGATTGGGTCTCATCGGAGTTGTCCAATCCGAATAAATAGTCAGGCACTTCGGATACTATCGAGGAAGCCTCAGAACGGCCGCGTTCAAGACTTGAAGCACCGGCGCCGCCGTTAAGCGCGTCGAAGAACCAATTTTCACGATTAACAGAGCCGTTGAGAAGTGAACTGATGCTACTGGCACGTGAATCGTCATCACCCTTGGAGAAAAGAAAAAGCCGAAGCCGAGCCAGCCGAGGGTTTTGATTCTGAGCTAGCCGATCATATTCTTCCATCATGTTCTCCAGATCTTCATCCGTCGTCACTGAAATCAAAGCGTCAAGATCCTCGTTCGGAAACTGATACTTAAAACTCACGTTGCCAATTCCTAATCAAAGAACCAAATGAATCAAAAAGATAAATATGAATCAAGCAATTATTAAAAGAAAATTGTAGTTTAGTGGAT